TAACTTCTACAAATTACATGTTGTCGTGTATGCAGTTTCTTGAAGTCGAGTAGCGACGAATACCACCGTAAACATTCGTAAAAATTCGCTCATTCATCTCAATTCCCATTTTGATTGTATAACGTTGACACGCCGTTTCTCATTGTAATCCGTTGAGGCGGCACGATCATCGTGTCGCCGTCATTTGTAACAATATACGATTATATTGGTTAATAAAAGTTATCTAGATGTAACATCGCTTTTACGAGTTTTAAGTAAGTTCTCCGATGAATAATTAATCTATTTTCTTATTTAATTTGCACGTGCATCCCACGATTCATTGTCCTACGATTAATAATCCCATAATAATGTCGAACGCATACGCGTAATATGGCACATGCGGTCCGGTCTAACAATAAGCGAATAACATAATATGATACCAATCCAGTTTAACAATAAGTGAAACGAATAATCAAAAGAAATTGTGCAAGATTTAAACTGAACTGCAAATGCGCGTAGTTCTTAGCTTGGTATTATTTTTCAGAAAATATTATTAACGAGATACTTTTAATATTATCTAAATTATTTTGATAAAATGAATTTTTAAGAAAAAATTTCAAAGAAAAGATTTTGAAAAACGATGCCAATTATCATCAGATCTAACCAACGCGTCGAGACCTGACTATAAAAAAATATGATAAAAAGTACAATGGAGCGAGGACAAAAAATTAATTTAAAAGATAAAATGACACTTTCAAGATAAGGAACATTTTAAAACGTAAGAAAGAAATGAAATAAGAATTTAAAAATAAAAAAAAAAGAAATATAAATCAAAAATTTAATACAAATAATAATCAAAAAAATTAATAATAATCATGGAAAGTTATTTGACTAAGTACAAAATAAAATAATGATTTTAAATTAATTATTAATAGAAATAATCTCAGACAATTTCTTTATTAAAGTATATTTTAAAAAATAAAAAAAGTTCAAAAATTATTGTTTTGAGATCTATCTTATCTGAAATATCTTCTTGCATATAAAATTTAATATATTTTTATACAAGTAAGAAAATAAGTTAATAACTTTATATTAAAGATTGATGATTTGAAAATCATCTAATTTAAAATATTATTATTAAAAAGAAAATTTTTATTATTAATATTCAAAAATGCAATATACAAGAAGATTTAATTTGCACGTGCAATAAATAAAACAAAAATAATATTGTTATTTACAGGTATAAATACTTGTGTCACTCGTGTAAAAGTCTACGTGTACAATATCATTTATGTCGATTTGAAATTTTCGTCCTATGACATGATTAAATGATTGAAGGAACAAAGGTGCATGTGACTCACCATTAGATGCGAAGATCATTGATGCTGTTAAGAAGTTATCATAAAGACTGTCAAGCTTTAAGAAGTTATCATAAAAGCCATCATCATGTAGAAGAATCATGGAAGTCGTAAAACATCTGTAACAAAAAACAAAATAATACAATTTAAAATAAAGTCCAGATTGTTAAAAAAATTAAAATTAAAAAAAGATGAAACTAGACTAATAGTATAATAATAATAATAATAAAAATTAAAATTTTAATAAATTTTAATAATTAAAATTTTAAAGATTTGAAATTTAAATATCTAATGATTCTGTATCAATAAAAATTTAAATGAAATAAGAAAAGATAATTATTATATGATGGATGATGATCTTATTCTTTTGAGAGTAATACTGACTCTTTAATAAACGAATAAACATTGATTCTACATTATTTTACATTATCCAATGAAGAATTAAAAAAAAGTATTATTAGAAGTAAACACTTTATTCTTATAAAATAAAATTAAATTTACTATTCTATTAATTACTATTATAAATTATTAATTTTTATAGCTATTTAAATATTCTAATTGTCATTTTATGCGAAAAATAATTATAAAATAGTTATAAATGGATTTACAACAATCAATAATTTGTTATTTAAATATATTAAAATATATTTTAAATTTTTATTTTTAATTTATTACTTTTAAAAATTTATTTCAATAATAAATATAATTGATTTATTTTTATAAATAAAAATTAAATTCACAGTTCTATGGTATATTAATTTTTAATTTTATAATTGTGTTACAATATTCGAAATATCATTTTACGAGGAATCACAAATTGAATTGACCGACAGTGGTCAATCAAGAATAATCAATGTAACTACAGTAGATAAATTCTATCAAGATATAGAAAAAGTATAGGTTCCTGTATATGATAAAAATTATATGTCAAAAAAAAAATAAAATCAAATATATTAAAAAATTGTTTAAGCATAAAAACGGATATCATATTATTCTATATATTCGCAAAAATATTAATACAAACTATTTATAAAATGCTTGGATAAACGTAACAAATAAAAGTAAATCTTGCATTTAACGATAGATGGCGAGACAAGACTGCTAGTGCTGGCAATGCAGTTACTCTGCACAGAATTTATAATAGAAATGCTATATAATAAGAAAAAGATATATTAAAAAAAGAAAAAAACATTAATGTTTATTGCAAAAATTAACACAAAAATAAAAGCTGAATGCCTTCTATCTTATAATTTTCTAAAATCTAATTTAGAATATACAAATATTGCAGCATTGCTACAACATTAAGAATCAGACCAGAAAATAAAAGATATTATAACCAGAAAGAAAATAAATGGCAAACAGGAAACCAGGGAATCGAATGGAACAAAAAAAACGAGCCATGAAATAGCAGTCGAAGAGAATGAAAACAAAAGAGAAAGCCACATGAAAATACATATGCATAGCCGTATCGACAACAGAAGAAACATTCACGGCGAAGAAGCTGCTTGTGAACGACCGGTAAACAATTAGTCGCGCCGTATGGCGATGAATCATTATTAAAGACGATGACGAGCCAACTGTCCTTAGGCACTTCGTTGTCCCGGTCATTCGAACCGAGACCCTGTTAGCATGCGACATTAATTTGCGTAAGGTGTTTTGGGGTGTTACTTGAAAAGCAACGGATGTGGGTGCGCGACAGAAAGGAGATGAACTAAAAGGCGAGGAAGAGCAACGCTGCCTCTCATTTGCCTTTCAATACCGGTTCCCTTGTCATTGTGACAACGACGCTACTATTGTTGTGCCACCGTATACCATGTATTACCTACCTGTTCGTGTTCTTACCAGCGTGGGTGGCGGCCGTGCACTCCAATTCGAAATCGTCCTCTTTACGAATCGTATTTTAAACTGACACACATAATTTCCACTGATTTCAAAAAAATTATCACCATACTCGCGTCTCCGCTTCTCGAATGGACTCGTCCTGTTACGAGTGACAGCGCCACCTAGGAGAAAACGAAATCAAAATTATTCAAAATTATTCAAAATTACGAGCATTTCAAGTGAAAAAAAAGTTACTCGGCTATCGAATTTTTCTAGTTATGATTATTCAAAGATAAAAAGTTAAAGAGAATTACAAATATATATTTTGAAGAAATATCCTGAGCATTCTCAAACGTTTGTAGTCACAAGTAATTTGAACGCTTGTCACCATGTTTTATCGTAAGCGTCACTTCGTCGTAAGCAAGCTTGGTAAAGAAATATTTTCGTAAAAAGTCTTACCGTGTTTATTCAATCTTCAGACATTATCTTTTGTGCTCCGTAAGTAACTGGAACGGTTGGTCACATTCGAAAAATTCTCAGAATTTTCAAAGAACAACAAATATCACATAAATTTTCACAGAAACGGGTGTTCACGTCACAGGATTCCGAAACTAATTAAGATGCGCGCGCATCGCTAATAAGTTTCGTGAAACAGCGCATCTTGTTCACGCATGCATTATGTATATATATATATATATATGTGTGTGTGTGTGTGTGTGTGTGTGTGTGTGTGTGTATAGTTATCAAGTTACTAAGATATTGGAATTTTTGTTATTTCTCGTATCATATAATCATCGTTTGCGTCAATACTTCGTTATTTGATTTTAATCCGACTAATAAATACCATTGCGAATTAAAACTCGTGTGTTGGTGTAATTATTCGATAATACGTCATAACCTCGTTCGACTGGAAACGATGTCGATTGCAACAATTATACGGATTGTTACGAACGAGCAGTGAAATTAAAAACTAAATCTTAAAAAGTGTGTCGGTCTTCGACATCGCATTCAACTTTATTTATTTATATATATATATAGGCAGAAGAAGAAAGGCAAATCGATTCAGCCAAGGGAAAGAATAGACAATACCTTAACCACGAAACGGTTAGCGAAGAATGATCAACTAGAAGTCGAAATGCCGTATGGAAAAATGTCTTCCTCGTTCGTTTTGGGATTCAAGACGGCGTCAGTTGGCGGTTTTCCACTCGAGAAGTAAGGTAATAATCCGTATAATGGCCGTTAAGCGGTCGGTGATAGGCGAGGCGAGGCGAGACGAGCGGACTCGAGCGGGCTCTCGAGAGCCCACGTGGTAAGGCGCAGCGAAGCAAGGCGAGAGACCACGTTACTCGCTTTGTACCGCTTAAGCTAATGAGCCACAGATGGCGATATATCGTTGGACCCTGTTCGCATACATAGTGTGTATATACAATATAAAGTGGGCCGAAATGCGAGGGAGAGGTAGATCAGTCGCGATATACGAATCGTTGCAAGGTGGTTGAAAAGTCAGCCGAAAGGGGTTGGCCAGGTTCGTTTGGCTCGATGTTTATCTCGGCCAGCCGGTCGTACGCGGCTACCGCGGCCGATCCTATCTCGCGATATGCACCCTCCTTTTAACCCGGTGCACGACCAACCTGCACACCGCTAAATACACGCGCTCGTCTTTTCGCTGGCCGGCGCAGATGTACCGCCCTTTTGCACTGCTTGCCTCGCATTCCTCGGCGTAAGCGATCCCCGCTTGTATTCTCAGAGAGATTGCGCCGTCCGCAAAAAGGACACACGATTCCCCGCTTCGTGCGTTACGCTACGTATCGCAAATAAATCTTGTTCGACTCGTTTTCTTATCTTTTTTTCTTCTCTCTTTCAGATTTATTGAATTGATTTGAAATCTTTATAACGAAGATACACGAGAATATCATGTAGGAATAAGAATTTCATTACTCACGCTACCTGTTAATTTGTTCGTCGAAAAGGAATTAAAAATTTCAGTAATATCTATAATTAGACGAGAACATTTTGAAGATTTTGAAAAATTGCTGCGAATCTGAACGATGCATTGTATAGAGACAAAAAGATATCAAAGAAATGCACGGTTCGTACAATGGTAGAAATTGAAAAAATAAACAGAGGAGCATGAAACATGAGCGCGTGTCTACATGATTGATTGCTCGATAAATCTGCACGACGAAGGAAAGAAAAAAAAACCGTTCGAACGCGTGAGAAGCAAATATCGATATCATTTCCTTTGTTCGAGATCAGCTGCCTTCGTTTCACCATCCGATTCGAGAAAGCTGAGGCGAGAAAAGAAATCGGCGCGCGCATGAAAAGAAAAAAAAAAAAAAATAAAAGAAGGCACGTGGACCGCGGATCGAAACACCGGCTGAAATTCGCACGAAACGAGAGCAGGTTGGGACAGCCGAGGACAGCCGCGATTTCACACCGCGGCCGTGATCCGCGATTTCACGGCAGCTGCACCCGCCACAGGAAACGAGACGATCGAAGGCTCGCGCACACCGGACGAACTTTCTGCATAAAACGCGAAAACGGGGACAGAGGCGAGGTTCGACGTTCGTCTTGTCGCGAATACGACAACGATCGCCGATAAAAATCGCCTTTTCTCCTCCACCGCCGCTCTTTCTTCCCCTCCTCCCCCTTTCCGCCCTTAAACGCGGAAAGCAACGAAACAATGAGACAAGAGAGCCGGTAGCAATCGAATATAAAACGATATGGAGCGTGGTGGCACGCGATCGAGTCGCGATAAACAACTACTACTACTACTACCACTACTACTCTCTTGTTTACTCGCTCCTTTCGAAAGTGGGAAGAGCTTCCGCCAACTGGGAATAAGTGCATCCTTAATTAACCCATGGATCCGCCGATAAAAGGATAATAGGTGGAGACGGAGTGCATCTGTTCCCTTCCTCCACGGGTTTGTCTACAGGTCAGAAACGTTTTCTTCCGCGGCGAAGTCGTTAGCGTCGGATCTCATCGACGCGTGAAGATATACAGTCACCGGCGATACACACGCTCGAACCGAATCGCGCTAGACACGGCCTATAATTTCACCGTTTCTTCGGCTCCCACGGAATAGCAATTACCCTCTATCGAGACATCTCTAAATTGCCCTCGGATTGCGCACTTACCCGGACAAACGGTTCTCCCCCGAAGAAAAAGTACGACAGTTTTGCAAGGAGAGCAACAACTACCTCTTTTACGCTCTTTTACGCTCGTCGAATATATTTTATTATACACGCGTATGTGGAAAGATTAGAATTCAGCGGGGGCCATGAACGTAAGGTGATGGCTGTTTCATCGGAAAAATTACGTGCGAGGCACGTACGCGCGGGTAGAGCTGAATGGAATTGTGCGAACAACAACGAGCAGGAATTTCCACAGCGTTTTCACGTCCTTGCGGTGGGGTGTAGGGAAACGGTTTCGCAACGTTCACGGCGTGACGCTCCTAAATCCTCCGGCACTTTTTTACCCGGCACACGAAACGACGTGGGCGGTTGCATAAAGTAGGCAGCCTGCACTTATCTACATGGCGCGCACAAACGGCCGCGGTTGCAACGACCTACGGTCTCGTACTTATGTTAAATTACAGGTGGACATACGCGCGCCATGGCCATTAGTTTTCTCTCCTATGCACGCGCTCAGTTTCTGCCGAGACCTGCTTCGTTTACCACAGATGTTTCATCGATTTGTATAAGCGCGTATGAAAGGAAGCGGGGAAAGAAGAAAATGTAGCCGCGATAGTGTTATACGGTGTAAATATATAGAGTCGAGTAAGTTTTAAATAAGTTGGAATGATCGAACGCTACTTGTTCTAATGCGCTCGTGGAAAGATAACGTTCGAGCAACAAATTTTGGCGAACGAGAGTAGGCCAAGATAGCGTGCAAAAGAATGTTCTCTCCCGAAACAGACCCACTTTCGAACGTGCGTGCAAGTACACCACGATTGCTCGTCTCGTAACACATCTTTTGCCGCCCGCGTCCTTTTCAATTCGTCGACATTTTTCGGTTTCACCGCGAACGTAATAATAATTCCCCATCGACGAGTCCGCGGTCTATCCTCGATCATCGATCTTCTTCTCACGGTTTCTCTTTTTTTTCAGGCGGAAACCCGTTGAACGGAAAAGACCAGAAACGAGAACGAGCAGAGAATTGGATGAAGAGAGAGAGAGAAACGATGATACTTGAGGGATAGAAGGAGAAAGCGCGTATGGCGAAAGAGAAAACGTACGAAGAGAGAGAGAGAGAGAGAGAGAGAGAGAGAGAGAGACGACGACGAGGAGGCAGGAGG